GGCATTTTATTCAGACATTGTCAGTGATTACCTTTCCGAGTCCTGCTCATGTTGTTTCGTTCCCATTGCTACCCATTAGTCATATTGCAGACTCTTTGGTGCTGCTCCGGTGCCTATGATCCTACCTCATTAAAAAATCAGCACATCATCTCTTTTCTTTGGCTATTGGTCCTTCCCACTGCTTCTCATAGTTGAAATATTTCTTTCTTTTCATTTTGCTAGCTTCCTAGTAAATTGCATTGTTTCTACATTAACTCCTATCTGGTTCCATATGAATGTCAAGAACTGTGAAGGCTCTTAGATTTTACTCTACTTACAAGCTAGCAGGTTTCCTGACACAACTAAATGGTGATTTACATTTATTACTGTTGCTCATTCTATTTATTTAACTGGAGTCATTTCATTTGAGGTTGATCACTGGAATAGGGGCCTTGGATTCTGTCCTCCAAACAGGAAAGATACACATGTTTCTGGGCTTGGCTTTGGCCTCTTTTCCTCTGAGTAATTTGGAGAGCAGTGCTAACATGATAGTGTATTTTTGTCTTGATACATCAGCCCCCTTCCTTGCACTAGAGTGGTCTGTGTTGCTGAAGTACGTGCCATTCACCCCACTGCTGTTAGGCTGATTAGTACCAGTAAATACTCTTTTTTCATCTTCTCTGTAACCACATCCTAAACCTTTCTGTTTTTGTCATTGTATTTGTAGGAACCCATATTGGTAATGTATAGAGCCAGGAATATGTAGGATACCATTTTATTCCCTAATTAGATGGCCTATAACTTTAAATTTAAATTTAGTGATTACTTTGGATACCTTTATATCAAAATTGTCCCATAAGTTCAAATTCTCAGAGAAAAACATAAATTTATTGTCTTTTCCTCAGGTCTTTATATTTCTATTTTTAAACAGTTTCAAAACTGCCATGGTAATAAGTCTAATCCTAGGCTTTTATTGAACAGATCTTGTCTAAAGGGTATAATAAAGGCTGTGTGGCCTATGAACCTGACATCTGAATTATGTTATTTCACTAGGTATCCCTTTCTGCCAGTGATTCTGTTAATTTTTGCAGCACTCTGAACTACTTTCAGCTTATTTGTTGGGGATAAGTATTATAGGCATCATATTATGCCTTTTTTATATAAGAGAAAAGTACAAGGTTAGCTAACTTGCTTGAGGTCATAAAATTAGTAAGTGAACGAGCTTGATTTAAACTGCAGCTGTTTGCCTCTACAGCCCTTAATCATCACTTTACTGCCTCTTCAAATTATTGTCATATGAGTTACAAGTAGTAGATGTTATGGGTTCACGCGAAAGGCAATAGAGTTAGAGTGTATAGAGGCGTAAGTTTCAGCAGATTCTTGAAGTAGGGGATAGGTTTCAATATATGGAGATGAGAGAACATTTCAAGAGGGACAGAATGAACAAAATGTTCAGAGATGAGACTAGAAAGAATGTGTTCAGGGGATAATGAAGAGTTTGAATTAGTTTCATAGAAATAACTAATGGGACTTCTGGTTAAGATGGTGGCATGGGCAGACATGGCTCACCTCTTTGCACAACCACATCAAAATTACAACTAAAATATGGAACAACCATCACTCAGAACCAACAGAAATCCAGTTGAATGGAAGTCTGACAACTACAGAATTAAAGAAACCACATCCATGCAGACTAGTAGGAGGGGCACAGATGCAGAACAGGCTGGTCCCTCACTCATGTGTGGTAGGTAAAAATTCAGAAGAGCTATCTAGCGAGTGAGGAGTCCCAGCCCCACACCAGGTCCCCCCCCCCCCAAGCCCAGGGTTCCAGTGTCAGGAAGATAAGTCCCCACAACTTCTGGCTGCAAAAACCAGTGGGGATTGAGTCAATGGAAGAAACTGCTGGAGCCCAAAACAGTTCCTCTTAAAGAACCCACACACTGACTCACCTACTCAGACTCATTCCCTCTGGGCTGCAGCACTGGGGTGGCAACTGAAAGGCGCCAGTGGTATATAGGGAGAGCTGGAAGTGTCTGGCATCAAGACGAACAGAGGCCATTGTCCCTTTTCTCAACCCTCCCCATACAGAGCTGGCAAGCTGGTGTCATTTCTGAGACTCCATTAACCTGGCTAACACTGACCTGCCTTGGAGATCCCCAGAGACTCCACCCCACACAACTTACAGGCCTAGCCAAGTTACTATATGAATGGCTGGTCCCAGATTTGGGAACCAGAAAAATGTTATTTTAAGCATTCTGGTCATTTCTGGTGGAGTGAAGGTCTTGCCATGAAGTTCTCATTGGCAGGTTTACAGACCACTAAACATGGCTTCCTCATTTACAAAAACCACACACACGTAAACACACACACAGTAGAAATAATGTGAAAGCATGTAACTCTGTCAAAGAAATGTCATGCTTACATAGCCCAATAAAAATAAGAATAGTGATTGAGATGGGAAGCTGATTCCTTTCTGATGCTTTGGGCTGAAGAAATCTGAACTCTCTTCTGGGTTTCAACACATACATGAAATAATACCCGCCCTGGCTGGCGTAGCTCAGTGGATTGAGTGCGGGCTGTGAACCAAAGTGTTGTAGGTTCGATTCCCAGTCAGGGCACATGCCTGGGTTGCAGGCCATGACCCCCAGCAACCGCACATTGATGTTTCTGTCTCCCTATCTCCCTCCCTCCCCTCTCTAAAAATAAATAAATAAAATCTAAAAAAAAGATCTTATAAAAAAAAGAAATAATACCCATATTTGACACACCCATATACAATATATTTATTCATTTGGTAAATTTACAAATTAGAAGAGGTGGGAGGAGCAGGGAGAGAAGCTGACACCAAAGATTAGGAACTGAAGAAATTTAGGAGGTACAGTGTTGGTATAGAGTTGGCCAAGTGGGAATACCTTTATGGAATTCTTTGTTTTGACTTGTGTGAATAAGATGCTTGTGATGGCGTACAAAAATTTGCAGGTTTATTTTCTAGAATAGAGAAACAAATTGTTTTAAAACTTTCCTCTTAATACTCTGGATTTGTGGTTATCTAGTAACTTTTAGGAAATCATCCAAAATTACATTAAAGATTATTTTTTTTCAAGCTAAACTTTTATCCAAATAATGCCATCTTACACAGTGCCTTTTCTATTCAGAAGTACAATTTGTATCATAGATTTCTCTGGACTTTTCAAACCTAAGTTCATGCCTATCTTGGAATGGGGCTGTTCCTATACAATATGTGCAAGGTTTTGTTTTGTCTGCAGTTGATTTTAACTGCAAGCTTTTACAAATGTTTGCAGAGTCCTATGTTAATACTCTGTCAACCTATGCTGAAGATGCTTTTTTTTCCTGATAAAATGAGTAATAATAACACAAACTAAATCTTAACTAAACGGTAAATGCACCTGCATTAAAAGTCCAAAGCCAAGGACTCCTAAATGTTTTCATCTAAAGAATTGTTTGAAATGTATCTAAAAAAATGTTTATTACAATACTGCTTTCCATTTCCTAAGTGATTTTACTAGAGGAGAATGAATTTCATCCTCCATTGACTGTAGGACAGTAAGGTCTCATCAGAGGCTGCTTTTAGTATGAGCCCCAAGAAATGAGGTGGGCTGAGGATCACCAACACGGCCAGAGGTCCACATCTCCAATGGTAACCTCCTAACCTCTTCCTCAGTCAGGCCTCTCAGCTGGGGCTGGCAGCAGCTGGGGTTTCTTTACTTTTTCCTGCCTGGCTTTTCACTGCCATGGAAGGCCAGCTGGAGGAAGGAGAGAAAAATTGAAGGCTGGATCCTAATCATCAAATATGTAGCTGGAATGGGCATGGAAATCATCCAAGTCAAACTCTTCCCCCTTCTATCCCTCTTCTTTTTTAAAAGAAATTAGGGGCCTGGCTGGCATAGCTCAGTGGATTGAAGGTGGGCTGCGAACCAAAGTATCACAGGTTCAATTCCCAGCCAGGGCACATGCCTGGGTTGCAGGCCATAGCCCCCAGCAACCGCACATGGATGTTTCTCTCTCTCTCTCCCTCCCTTCCCTCTCTAAAAATAAATAGATAAATCTTTAAAAAAAAAAGAAATTAGGAACTTAATATCCAGTACCCTGTGCCCTATTTTATATGACAATTTTCTAGGTCTGAATAGTCATTTAAGTTACACACACACACTTACAATTTGATAATGAGGGGGCATTCAAATGATTTAGGAGACTGTTTTACTAGCTTTTCTTCCTGATTTTTTCAGTTAGAATGAAAATGTACCTATATCCCCCTGAATACACATTCAGGTAGGAAAAGCCTCCGTAGTGTGAGTAATGTGAATGTGGAATCTGGGGAAGTGATATAAAAACTTTTTAAAAAAATGTTTATTTTCTAAACCCTTTAATTTGGAAAAGAGATTCAAATTGTGATTGGTTTTATCCATTGATTGGGATGATCTAGTAAACTTTCTCATCTGGGACTTATCTAATTATTTCTTCGCCTTAAAGTTTCGATTCTCCATTAATTTCTTCCTGGGAAGAACATATTAACTTATGATTTCAGTTGAGGAACAGTCTTGTCTGATCTATGTAAGTTAACACAGTTAACCATTGGGGCCCTAGGCTTTTGCAGTTATACAATGGGATTATTTATTATTTAACATGTTGTCATTTCCCACTTGCTCTCAGCGCCATGTAGACAAGCATAGGCCCTGCTTTTGGAGATTTCCAATCCAGAAAAACTAATAATGTACAGACCCACACACATAAAATTGTAGGGTCAAAGAGCTAGAAGATGAAGAGTACCGGAAATGAAAGTGAGAATGTTTTATAATTATGAATGATACATAGTTTCATGTACTTTACTGTATATATTTCCCAATTTAAATAAACTAAGTAGGGTAGAAAGTGAATTTGGACTAGAATTTATTTTATCCATCCTTACAAAGTTGTCATGAATACTTAAGAAAAATAGAGTTCATTTTATTAAGAAAACATTAAATCTTAGTTAATAATGTCTTTCCTTCTCTCCTTTGCAGAATATGCATGTAATTGCTCTGTGGTTGGAAGCGTGGATGTGAATCGCTGCAACCAGACCACAGGGCAGTGTGAGTGTAAGCCAAGTTATCAGGGGCTTCACTGTGAAACCTGCAAGGAGGGCTTCTACCTGAATCACACTTCTGGGCTTTGTCTGCCATGCAAATGTAGTCCACATGGAGCCCTGAGCGTACTCTGCAACAGGTAAGCAGCAGCGGATTGAAGTTCATTTTATATGATCAAGGAAAATAAGGCTCCTGCTCTCAAGCACCAGACTGGTTTAAATAAAGAGGAAGACTTACAAAATATTGCATATACTTTTATTCTTTCATTTTATATATTATATTATAGTTAATGTCAAGATTACAAGGCTTCTAATTTACAGATTTAGTTCTTCAGAAACACCTGGGCCATGAATTTTGCTTTGTGATAGCTTCTCTAAGTTTCATGGACAAAAATTATTGAGGAAGCAATCTTTCTGGGAGCAGTAAGTTTTAGGCATTTCCAGTGGAAACAATCCTGTTTATTAACATTCCATTGGAGTTACAGGAAATAATTCTTTGATTTATTTTTCCTCTTATCAAAATTCTAGAACTGTTTCTTTGCACATCTAAGGCTTACACTTGATTAATATATTAATTTCTTAATTAACATAGTTTCCTAACTAGTGGAAAAAGACTGGTTTCACTCTTATGTATCAGCATATTTTTGGCGACCAAAACTAGATTAGCAGGAATTGTTTGAAAATTGCCTTTAAAATAGTATGTTATTTGAAGGTGACTTAAACTAGTAAAACAGTATCCCCAAATATGAGAATTTTGGGGGTACTTCTCCTACACTGGAAGTAATTTTTCTTTGACCTTGTGTGAGGCATGTAGCTTTTTGAATTGGGGTCTACAAAAATTCAAATGAAATTTGTGGACCCAATTCAAAAAGCTAAGAGACAATGTTATGTGAAGAAGAGAACACAAGCTTTAGAATCAATCTAACCTGGGTGTGGATCCAAGATTTGCTGTAATTTAGGAGCTGTGTGTCTTTGGCCAGTGATTTCATTTCTCTGAGCCTCAGGTTCTCAAGCTTGTTGTGAAGTTATATGAGTAGAATGCATGTAAATTTCCTAGCACATATCACTTAATAAATTCTGGTTTGCTTTAATTTCAAAGTAATATTATTGGCTTAATGAAGGAATATTTTTGAAGGAAATTTTAGCTCCATGGCAGAGGAGTTTTCTTATACTTAGCAGATTTTTTGTATTCTTTATAAATCATAGTGTACTATTATATAATACGGTATCATATTGTACTTCAAAAGTGAAGTGATCTATATTCAAAAGTGAAGTTCACTACAATATAGAAGTGAACTTGATTAAGAAATTTATAATTTCAAGTGCAACAAAAATAAATTTATGATGCTTGTTATGCTACATAGTTATTTGTCATAATCCTCATAATGACTCCTATTTATTTATTTATTATCCTCACCCAAAGACATTTTTTACATTGCTTTTAAAAAGAGAGAGAGGGAGAGAGAGAAACACTGATGTGAGAAATAGTGACTGGCTCTCTCCCATATGCTCCTTGACTGGGGATTGTACACACCCGGACCAGGGTCGTACATACCCGGACTGGGGATCTAACCCACAACCCAGGCCTGTGCTCCAACCCAGAATTGAACCAGCCACGTTTCAGTTATAGAACAATGCTCTAACCAGCTGAGCCACACCAGTCAGGGCTACAACTCTTTATGTAGGTTGTTAAGTCACAAAGATCGTAAGTGGCAGAGAAAGTATTCCACCTTAGGTCTTCCACTTCCAAGCCCAGTGTCCTTATCATCTTGCCATATGGCTTTTATAATGAGAAAACTGTTCATCACTCTGTTATTTGAGGTTGAGAACGTAGTAGTTGTTCACATTGCTTCCTTTTCTCCCCCAAAACATGCCTATGCAAGTTATATTCACAAGGTTCACATTTCTTACCATTTTAAAAGATGAGATTTTTTTTCATTCTGGTGTCCTATGGCATGTTCACTACTAATATTAGGATAAGATTCTGCAAACACATTTACCTTGAGCACTTCAGGAAAGATGGAAAAAGTGTTTACTTCTAAGCCTATACATAAAAGAAGTCTTTAGAAGGACAACATGGGAGCTGAGCACTGCATTTCTTACTACCAGAAAGGAAGTTAAGTTGACCTGAGACTAGAGGAACAGAAAGGAGAAGCTGTAGGACTATGTGTTTGGGCAAGAACATATGGTGAACTATGAGGAAATACCTCTCTGCGTTGTGCTCTGCTATAAATTATGTGTAGGTGTTAAGGGGCAAAGGATATTTCAGGCAAGTAGTGTGAGGCATTGTAGAAAGGAAGTGGAGCCTGAAATTAGTAGATTTTGATCCCATTCTTGGTTTAGACACTTACTAACTATACAACCTTGGTTAAGACGTTTGACCTCTCTAAGCCTCAGTGTTTTCATCTGTAAAATAGAATTAATGTATGTAACATAAAGGAATTTTTGTAAAAAGTGTGTGTGTGTCCACTTACATGTGACTGGCACATAGATTCAGCCTTATAACTTCCTAGGAGTTGAATCTATTTTTTAAAACAGCAAGGAATAGAATTGGTGATTCACAAATGAGAAGGATTAAGTCAATCAGACTTGGCTGTGAGTAGGGATTGAGGTATTTGTATTTGTTGGTAGGTTAAAGAAGAAATTGTTCATTCTAACAGAAAAAATTTAGATTATTTTCTTGCATTTTCATAAAGAAAGCTATTAAACCTTTTATAATTGGACATTTTATATTTTAGAATGATAATAATAGCTAAAATTAATTGAACACATGTCAGGCACTATCCTAAGCCATTTGCATGTAGTAATTTATTAATTCTCACAGCAACCATATCACGTTGACACTATTATTCTCATTTGCACAGGAAAAATATTGCAAGTTAGGTAATTTGCCTGACTTACAAGGTAACAGCCAGTGATGAAAAGAATTTGGTATGGAAACATTTGCAGTCAGGATCTAGGATATGTATTCCTATTCACTATGCTGGTGTGGCCTTTTTCAAAATCTCAGATACAGAGCAGGGTGAGTAAGTATTGTAAGAAACTTTGATGCTGGAGTGCAGACTATTTAGGAATTTCTTATGGCTGTATTCTGGTAATCAGATCCTGACTCCAATGTGATGCTCATGTTGTGTAAATAACTTCTTGGTTAGAACCAATCCATTTTAGCTTAGTAGAAACTGAGAACATCAGAGGATCAGATCTTCAATGAATAATTATCAATTACAGTATTGATTATATTGCCATCTCTTTGTGTTCAGTCTGTTTTTTTAAAGATTTTTATTTATATACTTTTAGATGGGAAGGGAAGGAGAAAGACAGGGAGAGAAAACATCCATGTGTGAGAGATACATCTATTGGTTGCCTCTCGCATGCCCCCAACTGGGGACCTGGCCTATAACCCAGTCATACGCCCTGATTGGGAATCAAACCAGTAACCTTTTGGTTTGCAGACCGGCACTCAGTCCACTGAGCCACAATAGCCAGGGCTATGTTCAGTCTGTTTAATTTAAAAAAGTGAGGAGTAGAATTGATGACTCATGAAAGAAAACTAAAAACTTTGGAATGAAAATAATATTGTTTTGCTCTTGTGAAGAAAATGTACAATTTGTGCAAGACTAAAGGACACAAAGCTACTAAAAACCAATACAAAACAGTGTTAAATTTCTAAATTTTAGAGTGGGAAGAGAACAGGAATGAGCTGAAGTAATAAGGAAAGGCTTTCAAGAGACGGTGGGAACTATAATGTGCCTTCCAAGTTATGATTTGGGAAGTTAGATGAGAAGAAGACCTTGTCAGGAGGAAAAAAACTATTCAAATTTAAGTGAATTTTATAAGATTATACAAGATGAGAAATCTGAGCTTCTAACACCTACTCAAATTCTTTTGTTTTAAACTCCCTCTTCTCTTTTTAAAAATAAATAAAAGTAGAAAAGTGGACTCAATTCTGTCCTGATTGTTTAATATATCAAACAAAGCCCATGGAACAAACAACTGGCTTTTTAAAAATTCATTTCCATGTTCTTTATGCCCATATATTTCAGTGGGAGTTGTCCCAGCGAGGCTAGAATTCGGCTACAGGAGGCAGATGTGGGTTGAGCAATGCCTTTGTGTGTAAAAACAAAGTTCTTTATGTACTGACAGATGGCCACCCCCTCACATCACCATTGGTGTTCCAACCTGTTTAACTGGGATGTAGTTGGTTTACAAATATCTTCCTATTTTTGCTTTTGGAATTAATTTTTAATGTTATCCTGACTTACATTTGGACATATGTTTAATGAATGAATGAAGAAATCACATAGCATTTTTTCTCAAAGAGTACTGTGCTTAGCGAGAGGCTGAGTCTCTTAATACAGTTCTTAAAATATTTCAGGGCTGACTTTGTATCTAGGAAATTATATACATATTGAGATAAAAAACATGTATTCATAATATATTAGTATGCAAGGCGCATCATTTTAGATTCTCTCTGTAAGATAGCAAAGAATCTCTGTAGTGGTGTAATATCCTTTTCATAAAATCTGTGGTTGTTGCTATACTGTATGTGTTGAAATATTTACTACTTTGCACTTTTAATTATGGGACTGCACCCAGGACAGAGTGCTCAGCTCCCATCATGAAGTAAACTTATGCTGAAATAAATGTCAAGCAGAAAGATGACAAAACCTCCAAGGCTCACATTTATATGGGGCTCTGAAAATCCTCTCGTGTAATAATTGGGAATACCAGATGCTTGTATAAACTTTTACTTATTACTTTGCCTGTAATTCTTGAGAGATCAAGAAAAAGTTATTTGATCAATAGTATAATTAATAATTGAGGAAAGCGTTGCCATTTTATTTACTCATTTCATTTAATAAAGACATTGCATTTGAAAACTACGTGTCCAAAGATATTATCCCTATGCTCAAGAAACTTACTGCCAGAGGAAAGATAGAAATGCAAACAAAATATGAATATTCATAAAGTAGACAGGCAATTCATGGAGGTCTTGAGAGAGGAAGTTGCATCTAAATTGAGACTTGAAGGATGAGTAGAAGTTTGTATGAAAGAATGAGGCATCTTTAGTAGATTGCAAATAGCTCACTATTTCTTGAAGGCCAGGGATACTTGGAAATGGTGGAGAGGAAGGGTTGAA